TTGCTTTATTATTTGCATGAAAAAAAAACTCAATTATACTTTTTATCTGAGGAAAATATCATGGATATCAGTTATATTTTTCTGGTGCAGACCCCTTTTCTCCAAGTAAAGCAAAACAAATATTAGCTTTTCTGGAGAAATTGCACATTTCTGCTGTTTGAATTAATTTTGAAAATAGTTTTTCAGTTTCCATTCTAGCCAGTGCATTATTTTGGTTTGTTTTAGTCTTGGCTTTTCTCATCAGAGGACTCAGATTTGAAATTAAAAAAGGAAAACATCAGCATGATTTTAATATATGGTTATTCAACATATCTCATAGTAGGGTTGATTTATTTCAGACAAACGCTTTAGTTTAAACAATGTTTTTGCTTAAAATTGGCATTGCAGTTTGGCAACTACATAACTAAAAGGACTTGAAAAACAGTGTAAAAATCCAATTCAACAGTCGAATATCTTAGCAGATGGCCTCGTGAAATAAAGCCCTGGGAAAAGGAAGAGCCAAGATGCTTCTGGATGTCTGCAGCAGCTGGAGCTTAAAGAATGCCTTTTTTGCCAAGTGGATCAGATTTGGGGGACTTTTCCCCCAAAGCAAAGTCCACCTGGATAATTTCTAGCTCTTAGCAGAGTTACTGAATTTATTCTGTTGGAGGAAATGAGGAAGGACATATGCATGTGTGAACTCAGCATCCTCAAAATTTGGAGCTCTGATGCCTGAGAAGGACTGCAGTGTTTGTGAGTGCGAAGGGAGTAAGCATATGATATGGGTTACACAGTGGTCAGAAGTGGGCACAAAGAAAGTAGAAGGAGGAAGCATAATAAAGCAAAGGGAGGAGGAGAGAACAAGGAAAAACTGGTGAGGAAGAAGACACAGAGAAGAACCAAGTGAGCATAGTGAGAGTGCTCTATGTTGCCATTGTAACCAGCCGCTTCCTGAACCTTTAGGAAATGAGCACTCTTTTTCTGGCTCCTGTCAGAATTTTTTTCTTCCTGAGGCCATGAGAGTCAACATGGGGACTGTCTGACACTTTTTATGCTCAGGATTTTTGTTGATCTTATCAAGGCTTAATCACCAAAGATGTCGTTCTGTTTAACAGAATGCCTTGAAATGGTTTTCATGTTCTGATTTTCATCAAGCTCCTATAAATATAGAAAGCTTCTGATTTAGGGTGGGATCAACTTACTGATAGCTTTGTCTCAGCAAAGGACAGAATCTGGAATCCTTAACAGTTCCACGTATGTGTCCAACACTAGATGCCAACACTAGCAAGAGATTGGGGGTGTAAAGATAGTTAAGACACTGTCCTTGTCTACTGAGAGGAGTGTAAGGAAATGGTGTCAATGCCATGTGACTCATAGAGTTGTACCTCTGAAGATTTAAAAATAGGTTGGTAGTGTTTTTGCTGTTATAATTAGTTTGGTCGCTGGACTTTTTAATGCTAGTACAAGAAACTGCAGTAGTTGAGAGACAGTAGGAGTTAGAGAATTGATACAGATCCCAGCTCATGGGGTCCACCATATTGTGGATGATATATGAGGCCTTCACACGGACTACCGAGTCCTGTGGAGGAAAAGGGACAGCATGGCTTCTCTCTCAAGGGGAGGAAAAGCTGTGGCCTCCGCCATGACAGGCCTGTATTTCTTTTCTTGGCACATTACACGATGGTCCACATTTTCTATGCACAGGTTTGCTTTAGGTGGTTACCATTTATAGAAAACAAAGGAACCAGTGTTGCTAATCAGATCACCAAAGAGGAATATTTGCAAATGAAAAGGGTAAAGTAGTTGAAATCCATACTCCATACTGGGGAGTTTTAGCATGGATTTTAGGAAGTTACAGTACGCACTTTCTATCTCAATTCAGGGTGAGGTAGTTTTAGCAAAAGCAAGTCTCAAAGCGGCCTAGGCACATTGCAAGCCTGACTCCCCATGGGAGAACCTATCCATGGGTGTGGATGCTATGCATCTCCGAGTGGGAGCTGGGCCCATGCTGCACAGAACAGTCTCCTAGATAGAATATTAGACATTTTATGTTGTGTGAGGAATGCTGGACTTCATCTTCTAGAGAGCAGGAGTCATTGGAGGACTTTAACAGTAAAGCCCCATAATCCATTTAGTGACAGGAGACCACTCTGATGTGCAGGAGGAAGGAGATGTTGAGGGATATCAGGCTAGAAGTAGGGAAACCTATTAGTAGTATAAGCATGCATCACAGCTTTCCTGGAACCGTTCAAATTAATGTTCTTTCTTCTAGCATGATTATTAGTAACATCCCTTTCACTATGTTTTAGTTTGGATCATAAATTCTATGGTTACCCTAGTAACTAGAAGTTTATTGCAGTGGTCCAGGTAAGACTACGATGTCCAGAGGTTACTAGGGCTTGGCTACGTGGATGGAAAGAAATTGCTGTCCAACATTATCACCAAGTACATGTACTTGGACATCGATAGAAATCTTATATCTGCCCCACACATGCCTGGGCAGGGATCCCAGTGAAAACAGTATATCAATTGATGGCTAACTGGTTAGTCACTCAGTGGCCTTGCTGTTTGTCAGCTCAGATTGTACTTGCCTGAAAAATCTGTAAAGAAATGAGGAGAGTCATAGCCAGTGGAGAAGGAAGTCAGAAAGGTAACCCTGAGTTGTGCAGGGCCATGAGGCCTTGCTGTTCTTCTTAACTGTCCTTCTTGGTGCCAGAAAGAGCTGTATTTTTGAAAGTGGTAGGGTGAATAGAGGAACCCCCAAAGAATGGATGTGTGTTAAAAACCCAATGAGGAACATTTGGTGATTTTTATGCAGAAACTAAATAATTCTTAATAAATAAGCCTCTACTTTGGAATAAAAAAATGGAGCTGAATTTTGATAGATGATTTGACTTTTGCTTGAGGACAGCAGAGAGGGCCGTGAAGTCAGGTTACAGTTTGGTCAGTCTGGGGTGATTATAACCTTGGAAGATGGTGAATATAGAGGCAATTTAGTCAACTGAAAGAAACAATTATTCGTTTCCTAGTACACGCATTTAATCACAAGTTGTCACTTGGGCCTCCTGTTAGAACCCAGAAAAGGCTATTTGGTGGCAATAATAAGGGAATATTTTAAAAAGGAATGAAATAACTAGACCCAGGAGAAAAGAGGTTTGCTATCAGGAATACATTTTAGCAGAAAAAAAGAATATGAATAAGAGTAACTGAAAAGGGTGAAGAAGAGCTGTCACTTTCTTTATTTTATTTTTAAATGTTCCTCCTTCCAGTTCTCATTTTGTACATGTGAGGCAGGCTTCCCTTCACTCCGATCTTGCTATTACATTGTATTTATATAGTGCTTATCTTCCGGAAGCTCACAGAAATGCCTCTGAATCCATGCCACTTTAGAAAATATTGCTTAACAAAAGGGGGATGCTTTTATTTCATCCGTTTTATCATAAAATGTTCTACTGGGAGCTTGGTGCTGGGTGTGCCTTAGGCTGGTGATTGTGCATTAGGCTGCACACACATGCATGTCACAGCTCCACGGCTGCCCAGGCAAGAGGAAACGTGGGGTAATTTTGCAGCTAGGAGCCAGGCCTGCCATCATCCCTGTGCTTTCCAACGGTGACTCGGGAGATGCTTCTAATCTGCAAAGAATTATCCGGTTTCCTGACTTACCTTCATGGCTCTTGATGTCCCCGAAATATTTCTGTTTGTGAGTTCTGTGTGTCCACAGGCAAGACAATTGGCTTAAATTTTAAACCTCGCACTCCCTCTCTGTTTACACTGTTGAGACTGTCATTTGTAGAACTTCATTTATTACAGTTACTTCCTCAGGGTTTCACTTCAGAGAAGTAGAATTGAATGAAAAAAAAATCTTTGAAATGGAAGGGGATGAGTTGAGAGATGGAAATATTTTAGTAGGTCCTTCAGAAATTTTTATTGCAGCTTTGTTATTCTTAAAAAATAAATGCATGCTTCCGAGGCATCTGTAATTCAATAAAATCGAACTGAAATAATTGCCTTGGATGCACCAAAAGTTAGTCTCTTCACATTTTTCAGTAGCTGAACATTGATTTATAGAAAAGTGAAGTAAGTTAAAAATAATAACTTGGCCTCTGTATGATGCTTAAAGTCAAAGTATTCTTCCCAGGCCCTTTTAAAATCTCTCAGCGAGCCATTCCTCGTTCTCTCCTCCTCCTCCTCTTCCCTTTTCTATGTGTCTCTCCTCATCTTCCCCCTAAAGATTAGGCAAACAGTATGCTCATTCACTATTGTGAAATCCGATCGTATGAAGTAGAAAGTAAGGGCAAGGATATTTCTTTTAATCTCTGGAATTTAAGTTTTTTTTTCCATAATTTTCTAAAATTGGTCAACATCAGAGGATATCAGACAGGTTTATGAGGTGATTTTTTAGTTGTTGGGTATATTTGATATTTAAAATAACTTGGTTTTTTATTGGTTCCAATGCCTCCTGTGAAAGGATAGGCCCAGGTGCATCCATCATCCCCATTCCTTGGAGTAACCTTAGAAGGAATCACTCCGCGTGTGCATCAGAATAAGCTCAGGTGTCAGTGCTGAAGTGTAAGGCCAGAGCACTCAATGTCAAAACCAACTGCTAAATCACAATCAATTAGAGCAAAATTATGTCACCAACATTAATTTAATTAATGTGATTTCAGGTGGGTTTTTTTTGAGAACCAGTTAAAAGAGCCAAGAGCAGTTTCCTTCTAGTATCCTTGACATTACAGTTGTATGTAAAACACATGCACACACGCAAACTAAAAACAGATGAACTTTGTCCAAGTTCCCAGCACTTAATTAAAAAATGCAGAGCCAAAATGCATATGTTATCATTGTTAGAGGGACGTATTTTGTAATGGGCTTCACTTTTTGTGCACTGTGTAGATCGATGTTTTATAAAGATTTTATTGCTAGGTACCTAAAAATAACTTTTTCTGCTCTTCATTGTACAATGACCTCGCACTCTGATTAGAAGTCAATTCGTTAATAAGTGCCCCCTTTTTTAATTCTAGGATTCAAGAAGGATTAATAAAACACCACTGCATAGCAACGCAGTTATCACAATGATCTATTTGGGGAAAAATGTGCACCTATCTTATGATCACCCAGACTTCAGGGATGAAATAAAAGTTTATCAACAGCACTGCGGTGGAGAAAACCTGTGTGTCTACAAAGGCAAACTACTTGAAAAAGGTACACATGAAATGTGAATTCTTTCTAAGTGCTTAGAGTTAATGTTAGAGATAAACTATTGCTGATATCAAAATGACTTCAGTTTCTCTATGAAATTATGCATATCCAGGGATTTATAAACCAGCTGCCTCAAAGTAAATCAGGACTTACTGCTCCGTGATTGAAACTGGAGCAGCGATTACTCTTACAGATTGCGAAAGAAAGAATTTGGAGCGATTTAACCCAGTAACAGATTAATTTGGGGGTAGAGATATATGATTACTAAAATGTTGCACGAATAAACTGTCCCCCAAATTACAAGGTAATTATTTGGCTTGCCATGGTGAATTATATTATACATTATTCTAAGAGAAAAATACCAGATTAGCAATTTGTTCTTTAGAAGTATGTTGAGATAAAATCACAAATCCAATAAACTTTAGGGTGAATCACACCTAAATAACATGGTGCAGAATTTAGCCAAATACATTTAATACATTTACACTTTCATTTGAGCATCAATCCATGTTTGTTAGTGATGTGAGAAAAAAATTTTCTTCTACACTTTTAAACTCTAGCGGATCTAAGAATTAAATTGATGTGAGATAGATTAATAAAAGAAAATAATTGGATTTAATTACATACTAGGTCTGTTCAGAAAGTATCCAGCCACATACTATGAGAAATAGATACATTTATTGAAGAAGATACAAGAAACATTGTACATAAGACAATGATGCCTCAGTCCCCTTCAAAGTAGGCACCTTAGGACCTCACACAGTTTCCCCAATCGCCATCAGCTGCCCTGTCGTATTTTCCTGAATCTTACCAATGGTTTGAAATCCCTACCTACCCTTTCACAGGTGATTTTAGTTTGGGAAAAGCCAGAAGTCACAGGGCACCAAATTTGGGCTGTAGGGGGCTGAGTCACCTGGGTGACTTGATGTTTCACAAAAAAAATCTGCATGAGATGTGATGTATGTGTGGGCACCTTGTGATAAAACTGCCACTCTCCAGCTGCCCATAGCTGTGGCTTCTGAACTGAATAGTTTCCACAGAGGAATGTTCAAGGCTGATGCAAAATTTGAAGCAGATTTGTTGCACTATACTTGCTAGTCATTTTGAATGGCCACACAGTACACATGCTCACTCAGTGGCATCTACCACCCCCACTGACTAGTACAGTGGAGTTTTCATTGTTCATGCATGTGCATTCCAGTCCTCTCTCCTTGGCTGCCAGGTTACATTGATGTTGCACAAACTGTTCTTGTTCTGTAAAAACTGGTTGTACTTTTTCCAGACAGACCTCGTACATATATAGAGAGGGTCCCATAGGAACATAGGCCCAGAGGCAAATTGAGGAGTTGAGGCCTATATGCCTTTTTGAACTAAGGAGGAGAAGTAGGAATCTGGGACTTCAAAGGGTAGGAAGACAGTCCACATGGAGATGAAAAGCAAATGTTCAGAGACAAGGGGACACAGAGTGAACTCTGATATTTAGGCTGTGCTGAGTTTCCCCCACCACACCTAGTTCATATTATGCTAGAGTGAGCTATGGTGACAGCTTAAAGTAATCACTATCCCAAAGAGACATGTTTTGGGGTGGCAAACTCTGATCTCCTTCATTAGCATAAAATTATTTTTATATTCCATATAGGGTTTCACATATTTTACAAAAGCTTTTTTTCAATATTTAATCTGTGGGACAGCAGCTAAAAGAAAGAGTTGTTATAGGACTATACAAGGGTGGGCAAAGGAAGGTTTACAGTTTTGAGTACTTGAAACACACATTTTATTCTTGTATTATTTACTAGTTAGTATTTTTCCATATGAACAACTGTAAACCTACTTTTGCCCACCCTGTACTTGTGATGTCCTTGCTTGAGAAACTCTATTTAGAAAGTAATAGAGTTTTCATTATTAAAAGAAATATTTATATGTCAGTATTCAGTATTCTTTTTTTCCTGCTTTTAAAAAATGTATTATATTGATTAAACTATTATAGTTGTCCCGATTTTTCTTCCTTTGCCCCTCTCTACCCAGGACCCCCATTCCCTCCAGCAATCCCCCCCTTAGTTCATGTCCATGGGTCATGCATGTAAGTTCTTTGGCTTCTCCATTTCCTACACTGTTCTTGGCATTCCCCTGCCTGTTCCATACCTACCGGTTTGCATTTCTTACCCTGCACCTTTTCTCCCATTTTCCCCCTTCCCCCTCTCAACTGATGAGCCTCCAAATGATCTACATATTTATGATTCTGTTTCTGTTCTGCTTGTTTGTTTAGGTTGCTTTTTAGATTTTCCTTGATAGCTATGAATTTATTGCCATTTTAATGTTCATAGTTTTGATCTTTTCCTTAAGTCCCTTTAACATTTCATATGATAATGGCTTGGTGATGATGAACTCCTTTAGCTTTAAGTTGTCTGGGAAGCACTTTATCTGCCCTTCCATCTAAATGAGAGCTTTGCTGGATAGAGTAACCAAGGTTGTAGGTCCTTGCTTTTTATCATTTTGAACACTTCTTATCGGTTCCTTCTAGCCTGCAAAGTTTCTTCTGAAAAACCAGATGACAGTTTTATGGGAACTCCTTTGTAGGTAACTGTCTACTTTTCTTTTGCTGTTTTTAAGATTCTCTTTTTATCTTCAACCTTTGGCATTTTTTTTTCTTTTTTTCCTGGGGGCGGTGTGCTTGTCGCGTGTTTTGCGGGCCCGCCTTACCGGCCCCGCCAGGCCTCGTTTAATTATGCTGTGTCTTGGTGTGATCCTCTTTGGGTCCAACTCTCTGTGCTTTCTGGACTTGTATGTCTATTTCTTTCACCAAATAAGGGAAGTTTTCTTTCATTATTTTTTCAAATAAGTTTTCAATTTCTTGCTCTTTCTGTTCTCCTTCTGGCATCCCTATGATTTGAATGTTGATACATTTGAAGTTTTCCCAGAGGTTCCCTAGCCTATACTTGTTTTTTTATTATTCTTTTTTTTCTTGCTGTTCTGATTGAATGTTTTTTATCTTATTTATGTTCCAAATCATTGATTTGATTCTTGGTTTCATCCACTTTACTGTTGGTTCCCTATAAAATTTTCTTTATTTTGCTTAGTGTAATCTTTATTTCTGCCTGGGTCTTTTTATGCTGTTAGAGTACCCGCTGAGTTCCTTGAGCACCCTAATAATCAGTGTTTTGAACTCTGCATCTGAATATTGCTTATCTCCATTTGGTTTAGTTCTTTTTATGGAGTTTTGTTCTGTTCTTTCATTTGGACCATATTTCTTTGTTTCCTCATTTTGGCAGCCTCCCTGTGTTTGTTCCTATGCATTAGGTAGAGCTGATCTAACTCTGTGTCTTAGTAGTGAGGCCGATTATAGAAAAACACGCAGGCAAGTTGGATAGGGTAGAGCCTTAGGTAATCACCAGGGCAAGGCATCTGGTAAGAACCAGGTTGATGGAGTCTCAAATGTGGTGTCACTTTTCTGTGGCTCTGTGTTGGGGAGGGCTCAGAAAGGGGACAATGACCGCTGACTGGCTTCTGGAATTTTGTTCAGGAGGAAGCTGTCTCCTGTCACTCACTTCGATGCCAGATACCTCAGTTTCTTCCCATATGCTATTGGTGCCCTTCCAGCTGCTGCCCCAGTGCTGGAGCCCAGAGAGAGTGAATCTAAGTAAGCTCTAAGTCCATTGCAGACCTTGGCGTAAGAGGAGACACCTGAGAATCATGCAGTTTCTTTTGCCACCCCAACCCCTACTGGACTTTACAGTCAGAAGTTAGAGGGACTTATCTTCCTGGCACTAGAATACTGGGCAGTGTGGTCTGGTGTGGGGCTGGGACACCTCACTTCTGAGGTATCTCTCCCAGTTTTTATCTACCACACCTGCGTGTAGGACTGCTCATGCCCCGTCTCTGCATACTGTGCCTCCCTGTGTGTCTCTACTTCTCCTACCCCTCTGGATAAGTGGCTTCTTTAATTTCTTGGTTGTTGGACTTCTATACAGCTCAATTTTCTGATGATTGTGGGTGATATTTATTTTGTAGTCTAGTTGTGGGTTTGCTGTGGTTGTGTGAGGAGACAAGCCATGTTAACCTATGTCTCCATCTTTGGTTTCCTTGATGTATAGACTTAGTGGTTAAGGAAGGAGTTGGGGGCAACCATGAAGTTGTTCCTTTTGGTTTGTCTGTTTTTCCTCATCAACAAAATAATGATATTGCTCTGGCTGGTGTGGCTCAGTGGACTGAGTGCCAGCATGCAAACCAAAGGGTTGCCGGTTTGATTCCCAGTCAGGGCACATGCCTGGGTTGCAGGCCAGGTCCCCAGCAGGGGGTGTGTGAGAGGCAGCCACACACTGATGTGTCTTTCCCTCTATTTCTTCCTCTCTTCCCCTCCCTTTAAAAATAAATAAATAAAATCTTAAAAAAACAGTAATATTAATTTTAAAAATTCAAGTAATTAAATAGAAGCCATACATATTTAGGAATTAAATATCAAAACTTTCCAACATGAGGGAGGGTAAGCATGTGAATGTTAATTTTAATTTAAGACAAATTACATTTTTACTTATAAAAATTTTATTTATATATAAAAATATATGTTATTTTATAAAGTATATAAAGTTTATAAGAATAATGCTAGAAATATTTCCCCCACTTTTTATACTTGGCTGAAATATGGTTTGCTTTGTCTCATTTTGTGATAGCATTTGAGAGTTCACTCCTTCCATTTTGTAGGTGAGGAAAGAGAGAGGCGTCTGGAGGCACAGGCTTCCCAAGGGCACACATGCAACACTGGGCATGAGCAAGAGCAGACCCCAGCCCCTGACCAAGTGCAGGGCCTTTGCTTAGCACTCTCCATGTCCACTTAGCTATTTTCAGTATAAAAGGTCTTCCAACACTTTTATAATGTGATGAGTATGAAACTGCTAATGATAGTGGCATGGATACATGCATTTATTTATTTATTTTTTACTTTAAAAAATATATTTTATTATTATGCCATTACAGTTGTTCTACTCCCCCCTTCATTCCCCTCCACC